CTCCAGATATGACAGAGGAACAAAACTGGGAGCAACCACACAACCAGAAACAAAATTCGGTGAACATCCTGAAAGAATGGAGTAACTCTCCATCCAGTTTCCACTCCTGTGCGAACTGAATGCAAGGCAGCTAACAGGACTATATTATTAAAGTGAAAAGCTAAATAGCAGTTTAGAAGGATAGTTAAAACTCTGCTACAGCTCACTTGCATCACGTATACCCGGTATTGCAGACTGATTGACACTAACTGAAATACGGAGTAGGGGTGCACTGATAGACATTTTTTGGGCTGATACCGATGCCTGATTTTTAAAGAGCCATATCAGCCAATGCCAATCCGATTGCCGATATGCAGTCCAGCCAGTGTCCAGCTGGTAAGTCTGTTGTGGGGAAAGGGGCAGGGGAGCAGATCAAGGCCCCCACAGTGTGGGAGGAACTGGGGCTGGGGCTGAGGCAGCAGCAGGGCGTGGGACAGCTATGAGTGGCTCATTCAGAAGGCGCAGGGAAGGGGGTGGGTCCCATCGCTGCACACACCTGGGGAAGGCACGGGGGGAAGGGGTGTGCCCCCAGATCTGTACGGGGCAAGGGCAGGCTGCTGGCGCAGGCTGGGGCCCCGGGGTTGCACCTGGCTCCTCTCGGTAGACGAAGGGGTTGGGCCAGGGCTGCACTCAGGGCACGTGGTGGCAGTGCTGGGAGGACGGCTACCGGGGGCAGCAGTCATCCCAAAATTCACTGCAGCCCCCCCACATACCACACCACCATCACCCACCTCAAGCACAGCCCAGAATAGTGCTGTTACTCTGAGCCACTGGGAAGAGAACAGTGTAGGCAGAGCCTTTGCTCCATGTTTTTTCTATCACAGTGTTTAAATGCATGGCATGGCAAATAGAAAACAGAAATCTCTCTATTTATCAAGAGCCAGGAGCAGCGGGGGGAGGAGGGATCCAGGCACGTGTGTCCCGCATGCACATGTGCCCCATTACCAGACCAGAGGCAGACACAGCAGCAATGGAGCCAGCAGCGGGGGGCAGCAGCAGCTGATCCCCCTAAGGTAAGTGGGCAGAGGGACCAGATTCAGCTGAGCCGGATCTGGAAGGGAAGCCCCCCAGATCCCTCTTAGCTGAGGTGGTAGGGAGCTGCGCAGCACGAACAGAGCGTGCCAGCGTTTGTGTAGGCGTTCGCGCCGGTAGGCAAGCAGAAAGGACCAGGAGGGAGACTCCTAGTAGGGCAGGGCGAAGGCACTGCACTAAGCTAAAAACAAGCAGCAACTCCTATGATGGTGTTGACATGGAGTGCTGCCAAGGCCCCTGCCCGGGGGGAGCAGCCCACCCAGAGCTTGTCTGAGGCCTCCACCCAGACAGAGCCCATGGGGGTAGCTGGCGTCCCCCCACCCCCTGGCCTGTGGGGGTTGCCCAGCAAGGCCCAGGGGGGCAGGGATTGGGGACCCCCACACGTTCTGCAGGCGACCGCCTTAGGGCCCTGGAGGTGCAGGTGAGGGAGCTCCAGGAGGAGGTTAGCAGGCTGAGGGGAATCAGGGAGGTGGGGGAAGAAATTGATGGCTATTACCTTTCTCTGCAGGGCCACACACTCAAGGAAGAAGCACCTCGGGAAGTGCCCTCTGCTGCAGAGTGGCAGATGGTCACCTCCCGAACCAGGGCTGCTCGTAACACAGCAGTACCAGTTCCTCCAGTCCGGCTGGAGAACAGGTATGAGGACCTGGCAACACTGGAGAAGAAGGAAGAAGAGAAGGCAACCAGAGAGGAGGCAACTCCACACTCCGAACAGGCCGAAGGAGCTAAGCAGTCCCGGAGGAGAAAGCGCCAAGTGATCATCATAGGCGATTCCATTCTGAGAGGTACAGAGGGCCCCATCTGTCGTCAGGACCCCTTGACATGTGGGGTCTACTGCCTACCCAGAACAAAGATTCAGGACATGACGGGGATGATCCAGCCCACCGATTACTACCCCATGGTCCTGATCCATGTGGGTACTAATGATGCGGCCAGGAGAAGACTTGATCACCTGATGGAGGACTACCACGCTCTGGGGGGCGTGCTGAAGGAGATAGGTGCACAGGTGGTTTTCTCTTCTGTCCTACCAGAGAGCGGACGTGGAAGATGGCATGCGACGTGCATCACAGAGACCAACTGGCGGCTTCGGGAATGGTGTCTCGAGGCGGGCTTTGGCTTCCTTGACAACAACCCGCACATCATGACGAGAGACACACTCAGGTGGGATGGGCTCCACCTTTCCCCCCAAAGGTGGGCGTGTGTTCTCTTCTAGGTTGGCGGATCTCCTCCAGCGGGCTTTAAACTAGGCTCGTCAGGGGAAAGGGGAAAACAAAGGGGGAGGAAGGCTTGGATTGCTAAACCAAGCACCACTCACAAGTACAGCCCAGCCTAGACTGACAAGTGGAACATATACACAGGTAAGCAACAGGGGCCAGGGAAATGCTGTGATTAGGGAGCCAGTGCACACATCCTCAGGAGGCCTCAAATGCCTCTACACAAATGCTTGTAGTAAGGGAAACAAGAAGGAGGAACTTACCCTCCTGCTACCTGACACCAACCCAGACATAGTGGGGCTCACTGAAACGTGGTGGGACCCAACACATGACTGGGTGGTGAATATCAAGGGCTACAGGCTGTACAGGAGGGACAGGACAAGGAGGAAAGGCGGAGGGGTGGTGCTCTACATTAAAGAGGAATACACATCCTCACCAGGTAGCACAGAGTCAGAGGAGGGGCACACAGAAGTGCTCTGGGTTAAAACATAAGGCAGTCGCAGGGAAAGAGACTTAACAGTGGGGGTCTACTACAGACCACCCAACCAAGGGGAAGAGCTAGACCAGGAATTCTCAAGTCAGCTCACGGAGGTAGTTAGGTCA